GGGGGGGGGGGGTGCGGGCTGGCGGTGAAGGCTGCAAAGGAGGAGGCCCAACTCCTCTGGAAGATGAGATAAGCAGAAGGAAGATCACAGCCAGGTAGGGGAGGCGGGGGACTGGACCCCGGCCCCAGTGTTGGGAAGAACCGGATCCTAGCGCAAGACCCCGCCGCCGGCTGTCATCACCAAAATGGGCTACATCTGGGCTAGTGTCTCCTGGGGCCGCTGTGTGGGGTGCCGGCGTCTATTACTGTTACATAAGGGTTCCGGTGGGTCTCTTCCCAAGCTCTGCACACAGACTGGTTAGGTAGAGAGGGATTTTCGTGAAACTTCTGTCCCTGGAGAGAGATTTCTGTTGCTTCTGTGGCCAAGGAATTTGGGTGTGCTGTCTTAACGCCGGTGAAAAGCAGAGAACCCAGTCTTGGGTGCCGTTCAAGTAGGAGCTCAATACCTCGAGGGCCCTCCACTAGGTTTACCAAGAAACCGAATACCTTTCTTGGGTGGGAAATGGAGCCCCAACTGGCATCTGGCCAGTCGGGAGTGGGGACCTTCCTGGGGGACACTGAACACCCTTGTAAGCACACTGCCCTAATTACGGTGGGCATTTGAGGGCAGAGGGGTGCGGGCGGCTTGTTAGGCTTCCAGATGGCTCCCAAGCAACCATGTCTAAAATGGACTTGGATGCATTTTCCTTTTTCCCAAACACATGTGCTTTCACAGGGGGGAGAATTTATGAATAGCAGCGTCAGATTAGCCCAGATTTCTGGCATGGTATTGTCACAGATAGAGCCTCACGTGGGCTGCCTTTCGGTATGTTGGATGCGGAAACTGTGTTTTCCTGTCTGGGTCATTTAGCAGATGATGGTCCAGTTGACCTGTCTTTAGTGATTGACTTCTGCATCACCCCAATGGGCTGGCATGGGTCTCAGGTCTTCATGCCAGACCAACCACGTGACCAGGGGCCCATAACCTTAGACCTGAATCTCCCTTCTCACTTGGTCTTGAGGTTCCACTTCAGTCATGGAAGCAAAATGTTAGCCAGGTGTTCATGCTTTCTCCCCGGTACCCCTAAAACACAGCTGTATCTTTTCAGGACTTGTTTCAAAGTAAGAAGATTTACTACAAACCTTGGGCATAAAAGCCGGTTTCCAGCCTCATCCATGGATGGAATGACCAAGGGACAATGGAGGCTGGGTTTCAGAATAGGTACCAGGTGTTCATACTAATTTGAAAACATATTCTTGGAGCTCCAAGCAGCTGGTCACTAAGAGGTACTTTCCACTTGTTTATGGAGACGCTGCTGGTTGCTGGCGTGTGGATGAATTCTGACTCTCTATCAGGTAGTGTGGGGACTAGCCCACTATTGTGTTAATCACTAGTCTCTATCTGTTTTGATGACACTCTGAGTTGAGTGAACCTTTTAGGGCAAAAACTAGTTTGTATTATTTTGCTGCTGGAAAGCCTCCAGTGGCCTTTCATTGCACTGAGCGCCCCAAATCTTCCCAGGGGCCTACAAGACCCAGGCAGACTTGATTCCCTCCTGGCCTTTTCATTCTTATTCTGTTCCGCCCACCCCTCCTCCTCCGCGCTCCATCGACAATGGCCTTCCTTGCCCCAAACGCACCAAGCTCATTTCTATCTGGGGATCTTGTTCCACGTGTTTCCCACTTTCCCTGCTTGGCTGAGGGTCTGCTCTTCCTGCATGCCTCTTCCTCTTCATCCAGGTCTTTGCTCAAAGACCTTTGAGAGGCCCTACTCCCCCCCATCATCTTGTTCATTTTTATCACAGCACGCATCACTCTTTGAAATGCTCTTCTTTTTCATTTTTTTGACTTCTTACTAGCACAAAACCGTAGAATGTACGGACTGCCATTGTGTGCTCAGTCTGTATAGTGCAATGCCTTCTAGGCAGTTGGTGCTCAGTTCATGGTTGATTAATCCAGTTGACCATGGGGTCCATGCAGGTAAGTAAAAGGGGGCAGCCTTCACTTTCTCTTACGGAGAATGTACCAAGGCATGATCCTAGCACTGCTTCTTGATTTCTTGACTCAGTAGAGGCAGTGGGATTGGATGCTTGGAATTTAGGTGTGGGGTTGGTGGACCGCCAAGTGATGCTTTAACAAGCCACTGGATGCTTGCCCTGTGCCTTTGAAAGGATGACATTCTTGTCTTTGAGGGAGGGCTAAGAGATGGGCTGGAGGGTGGTTCTATTGGCATCTAACCCAGCTTGCCTTCTGTAAGTTGTAGGTTCTGGATGTCTTCTGAATGTAAAACTGCCAGGGATTAGATCCAGTCTCGTTAACAACGAGGAAATGCTGTACTTACACATACCTTATGGAGTTAGCAGTATTTTCTCTTGAAGTGAGTACTTCTCTGTAGAGAGGGTGCCAGCAACTGGGAAAAGTTTCAAGCCCACTGCAGTTAACTAGGAAAAGTGTCGTCTCCTCCTTGGTTTGCTTCTCCCATCTGTGCACACATTTCTTCTCCTCTCCGTTCACTTCACTTCCCAAAAGATTTTGGGAAGCATCTCTCGACTTTCCAGACTATACCACCAAGTGCCTGGTGGTTCCAGGTAGCACTGGCTTTGGAGTGGGATGGATCTGGCTGGTTGGTTACTGACTACAGGATCTTGAGCTGGGCTCTGCTCCTTAGTTTCCTCATCTGCAAAATGGGCATAATAAGTGTTGTGCTGAGGTCATGTAATAAGGAAGGACCTTTTGTATTCTATGACAAGTTCATCACTAAAAGGATATTGCCTATAAGCATAAATTACACATAATGGCTCATCTCTGGGAGTCCTGCCCCCCAGGTCATGAACATAAAGCCAAAATACCTTTGTTTAGCTTCCAGGAAACTTCCTGATCAGGCCCACCTGTGAATGACTGCAGGGAGGAAGAAATTAACACATCCCCTCTGGAAGCTAACCCAAACCAAGAAATGTTTGACTTTACTGTCCCCCCCCCCCTTTTTTTTTAAGTATTAATGTAAAAGAAGCCTGAATTCTAACTCAGGCAAGATGGTTCTTTGGGACACGAGTTCACCATCTTCTTGGTTTGCTGGCTTTCCGAATAAAGTCACTGTTCCTTGCTCCAACAGCTCATCTTTCGATTTATTGGCCTCTTGTGTGGCGAGCAGTACAACATTGGACTGACTACCAGTGATGCAGTGATTGTGGCAATGAGGTCATGGGATTACCCCCAGAAAGCACCCAAAACCATGCTCAGCCAGGGCATGCTTCATGAATAGTAGCCACAAGTACCTTTGGGCAGATGCTATTCTTGGCTTGTATGCTCATTCTTTCATTCATCCAGTAAATGCTTATTGGATGCCTGCTATTTGCCAGTGCTATTTGCTGGTTCATGAACTGTTGCCATGCAGAGTAAACAAAACCCGTTTCTCTTGTGTACTGTAATGTTTATCTTGTCTCGTTTACCTTTCCCAGTAGACTTTAAGCTCCTTGTAGGCAGGGACAGCTGTCCTGATGCCTGGCATATAGTTGGTTCTCTGAGATTCTTTGACAACTGAATACATAAATGAGCGAGAGATCCCGATGTTATAGACAAGGATGCAAGAGGCTCTCTGCTTTTGGGATGGTGATGGGGTACCGATGCGTGAGCACAGCTGAAAGACATGGAGTATTTTTTTCTGCAAATGGAATGTGATTTGTATTGGGTGAAAATAGAGCACTGAATTAAGATTTAGAGACCTGCTAGGTGACCCAGAAAATAGAAGTAAAACTGCCCTTCCTGGTGGCTCAGATGGAAGAAGCTGCCTGCAATGCAGGAAACCTGGGTTTGATCCCTGGGTCAGGAAGATCCCCATGGAGAAGAGAATGGCTACCCACTCCACTATTCTTGCCTGGAGAATTCCATGAACAGAGGATCCTGGCAGGCTACAGTCCATGGGGTCACAAAAGTGTCGGACACAACTGAGCGACTAACACAGTAGGTGACTGAGAAAATGGAGGTAAAACTGGCCCCTTGACTTGGTGAGGAGGAGGTTTCTTCAGTCTCCAGTGAGGGGTGGTGGATATCATAGCAGCCCCTGCCTTAGATGTCTATTAAGAGTTAACGGGAGCCTGGCTTATATTGAGTACCCAGGAAATGGTTGGTGAGGCTCCTTGTGCCCATTCAGTCCTCTGAAAACACTGGCTCCCCAGTGTAAAGGGCTTCTCAGACGCCCACAGCCACTGGCCAGTGGTGGCTGTGAATGGGCTCTGTGCTAAGTCACATCAGTCGTGTCCAACTCTTTGTGACCCCAGGAACCATAGCCCACCAGGCTCCTTTGTCCATGGGATTCTCCAGGCAAGAATACTGGAGTGGGTTGCCATTTCTTTCTCTGGGGGATCTTCCTGACTCCGGCATCGAACCCCCATCTCTTATGTCTCCTGCATTGGCAGGTGCCACTTGGGAAGCCCTCAGTGCTCGTGTGCAAAACGGGGTGATGTTCAAGGGACTCAAGAGTAGACAAGGAGCTCTGGAAGTGTGGGAGGGAGCAAGTCCAGTTGGGTTGGATTCTTTGGTTCTTGAAGCTCTGAGT